TTACCCTCATCTCTGCCATTGAAATCTAACCCAGCTTCCAGAATCCAGTCAAATGCACCACTCCCTGAAATTATTCTCCTCTCCCAACAGGAATAACATCTCTTCTTTCTCTGCTTTAACTGCTACTTTTAAAGATGCGTCCCTCCCTCTAGTCTTTGACTTGATTAGATTGAAAGCTCTTTGAGGGCAACTGGTAATAAAAGAATGTTCTCATTCATATTACCTACCCCACAGTGCTTTAAGCAGTTCTTTTTTATCTTTATCTGATTAAATGTTTCTTAAAATTGAATCCAGTATATGAATGAGGCTTGAAGTTTCAGGTTTTTAATGGTTGTCTCTGCTACTGATTGGCTCATGGGAAAAGCAAGTTTAACTTTATTCTCTCCTAAAATGGGGTAAAGGTATTCTTCCTAGGCAGCTGTTCAGGACAAATTGAAAATAAACATGTGTAAACTCTTTGAATGCTCTGAAATAAAGGTGTATACATTTTTATTTTCAAAAATTACAGAAAATTTTATTCAGAAATTAAAATATTTTATAACTCTTTTTGGAAGTTTATCTTACCACCTTCTCTAAACGTAGAAACTGTAGCTACGTAGTTACAGATCAGGTAGATTAGACATAATAGATATTATAGCTATAGATACCCTAAATCTCAGAAGCAGTATGTTACTTACTGAGCTTATTCTTGAACTTGAAAAAGCCTTCTCGAATACTGTTCCGACTGTGGTTATGCTTTCCACCTGCCATCTGTAAGTCCTGGGAGAAGTGTCATTAAGGTTTTTGCATATGTTTCCAGACCATCTTCTCCATCAACTGCCTACTGTCATCACTGTCTTTCTTTTTTGTTAAGGTCGAAACAGAAATCCAGCGGGTCTCCAGGCAATTATGAGAACCTCGTAAAGTCTCCTCCAAAAGAGAAACCTTGGAGAAAGCCATGAGGAACAAGCTGGAGGGTGAAATTCGGAGAATGCATGACTTCAACAGGGATCTGAGAGGTGAAGGAACCAACGAGCTTGTTTTATTTTTTTTTTGGTGGTACTGATGTTTGAACTCAGGCTTGTACTTGCTTGACAAGCCTGAGTCCTTCTAGTTCTGTTTTTTTTGAGATGGTCTCACTGTGTAGTTCAGGTTGGCCTGAGACTCACTGTGTAGTGCAGGCCAGCCTCAAACTTATGATCCTTCTGCCTCAACCTCCCTAGTGCTGAGATTAGTCCTAAGCACCACATCTGGCTCTTGGCTTTGTATTTCTGAGACAGCTGCAAGGTGGTGACAGGAAAGGTTGAGGAGTTGCCAATCAGGCTCTTGAGGGTTGTCCAACACATTGGTATGGTCAGTACATTGCAGGATCTATGCCTGGGTGTGTGTGCGTGTGTGTGTGTGTGTGTGTGTGTGTGTGTGTGAGAGAGAGAGAGAGAGAGAGAGAAATAATAGTTTCAAGATTGCCTGGGGGGGAGGTGTTATACCTAATTGGTCTTCAGTCAATTAACTAGGCAATAATCCTTCCTGGGACTCCTGGACCCAACTGACCCACTCCCAAAATTGATGCAGCCCCTCTTCCTTCCAGATCTGTCAGAGGCATGACTTTTGACTGTGTAAGCTTGAAATAATGGTGCCCAATGCTATTTGTAGGTTTCATCCTCTCCTTTTATTTTTACCTTCACCCGATGACATTGAAGGTACTGGGAAGTTTCTACTTTAAACCACATCAACACCTTCAAAATTGCTGACCTTGGAAACATCTCCTATCTTTAGATTTCAATTATCTATAAAATCAAAGGGCTTGACTAGATGTTGCCGTGGTCCCCACTTTGACATTACATGGTTTTAAAGACTTCCTAATAACTGTGATACTCTTTTTCCTGGTTAATAAATGGTATCTTCATATATTTGGGGATGGATTATTTTGTTGAAATTTAGAAATCTGCACTTAGGAGTGAAAGACCTGCCATGGTATAGTATTGCTTGAGGTTCACATTTGCAAATCTAGGTCTGTGTCACCCATTCCCGCTTGACAAAGAAGATACTGGCCTGTTTTGCCAAAGGTCAGTATTTAGAGGGCAAACTTCATGTGCTTGGAAGTTTGTATTTGAGGTGCTGTTGATTGTCTCTAAATTCCATAGAGCGTCTAGAGACTGCCAACAAGCAGCTTGCAGAGAAGGAGTATGAGGGATCAGAGGACACAAGGAAAACCATCTCTCAGCTCTTTGCAAAAAAGTAAGTCTGAAAGCTCCAGGAGGAGGCATGAATGTGTGAGGGCAGTGATGTGTGTGAAAAGGTTGCATAGTTCTCTTTAGCTTTTTAAAACAGCCAGTACAGAATAAATGCTATCTAGGGATTCTTTTTCCCAATCATGCATTAAGTTGGAAGATTCTCTTCTTTTTCTCCTAGGTCAAGAAAGCATCTTGTTATAACATCTAGTCATGTCAAATGACTCCCTCTGTTTTAAGCTAGAGAAACCCCTTAGTATTCCTACTATTGATTGTCATGGCTAGCTAAAGAAAAGACCTTAGTCAACATGGGGTCCTTACTGATGAAGGGCTTTTCTTAGGAGGTTCCATATGCTGACTGTGGTAGAAATGAGATGAACATGCAGGACTGATAATCAGTGTTTGGAATATCTAACCTGGATATGGAGCTTCCTTAGTTAAACACTTAGTGTTATATCATATCATTACACATTGGCAGATCGTAAGGGTAGCCAGAGTGGGGGATGCTGCTGTGGCCTGAATTAGGACTCTGATTGCAGAGTTGCACAAGTGTGGGACAGGGCAGAGCTGTGTCTTCTTTATAATAGTCTTTCCTTTGTCTGAAAATACTCCTAGGACTGTAACAGTGAATTAATCCTCTTCTTTATCGGTCCCTAATGGACTCCACCCAGCTAGACAATGCCTAATTCTTTCCAATTGCCATAATAAAAGCAGCAATAAAAACTTCATAGTGGTTTGAGTCCACAGGGAGAATGAGTTGGGGGGGAGGTACAGATGAACTGCCCTCATTTTTACAGATGCTTGAAGTTGGTTTCCCCTACTTCTAGTCTTTGTCAGTGTGGCTCCCACTGTAGTCCTGCTTGTTGGGGACTTGTGTCATCCATTTTTTGTGGGACTTGACAATGACTCTTTCATGTCATTTCATGCAGCTCTTCCAGTCAGCTTTTATAAGTTTGTTTGATCTGCACTTACAGAATTTCCCTCCCTGCCGGGTTTCTCTGTTGTGATCTCACTTAAACAGTTTTTCTTCCTCTTTTCCCTAAGCCTCCTGTTCCTTTGTCAGTAGTCTTAGAGTAAGGAATGTTGTTTTTTCTGGTGCCTAGGGTGAATTGTTTGTCAAGTTGCATTTGTGGTGTCAAGGTTACCCTGGAAGCTAGTTATCTGGGTGGCAGAAAGAGGTGGCAGCCTCCCAGAACAAAACAAAACATATGGATTATTGCCCTAGATCTGCTAGTTTCTACTCTTTCTATGTTCATATGGTATTTCAGGTATCCTAGGAGCTCTGTTTGGGTTTATAAAATGTGGTAATTTACTAGATCAAACTACCTGAGCAGGGTAAAAGACTGTCAGTAGCTCTAGGACTAGGTGGGGAAGAACATGACTCTTGGCCCCTTTATTTCTTTTGCCTTTGAGCATTGACAGGGCCCTGAAAGTTCCTAATTGAGGCAAGAGAAGAAAGCCCTTTTGAAAAACCTTCCTGGGGAGTGTGCTCCAGCAATCCCAGAGAGGCCAAACCAACTCAACCCAGAAGGCATTTAGGTATATAAAAGATTTTAGAATAAGCCTGGCTTAAGTATAGACTGCACTCCTTATTTACCAATTGTGGGACCTTATTTAAGTTAGTCATACACTCCCAAGTCTCCGTTTCCTTATATACAAAAATAGAGAAGAGAATAATAACTGTTTTGTATGTTGTTCTGAGGATTAAGGTAGTACAGTACTTAGTATGTGGTAAGTATTCAACAAATGTTCATTTCATTTTAAGGTACACCTATTCTGATAGATGTACATAAAGTCACAATGGGAAGGAAGGCAAGGAAGGAAAGCACAGCTGCCCTATTAAGTTTCTCCTACAACCTCAAAGTTCAAGGTCTTGAGAAGAAGCATGGTGGACCTCCAAATCCAAGTCCAAGCTATATCTCTCATTATTAATCATGGTGATAATTATCATTGACCTCTTTTTGCAGAATGTTGCTTTGGTGTTTCATTGTGCTTTATTGTTTCTTTCATTTAAACAAATTGATTATCTCATTTGATCCTTAACAAATATTATGGGTTAAATAAGATGGTTACCTGAGTTTTAATCTACATTTTTATTCTTCCTTAGAACTTCCATCTTTCTGTTTACATTGCCCATCTGTTCTTATGTGCTATCTGCTTTTTCTATTAAAATCCTTAGCATATTAATCACAGTTGTTTTAAACTAATGATCTGATCATTCCAGCATCCTTGCCTGGTCTGAGTCTGGTTCTGATGCTTGCTCTATCTTTCAATTTGTGTATTTTTGCCCTTTAGTATGCCTTGTCATTTTTTTGTTTTTGTTGATGATGAGTACAGATACAATGTATGGGATAAGAAGAACTGTGCTATGTAGTTATTTTAATAATACCTGCCTCTGTATGGTTGTTCTGAAGATAGTACTCCTCTAATGTGCTGTATGGTATAGCGAGAAGGGAAGTATTCTCTAGTCCTATGATTAGGTCTCAGCCTATTAGTGGGCGTGTACCTTGGAACTGTGAGATTTCACAAGTGCTTCTCAGCTCCCCCTGCAACACTTCGCTGGTACAGAGTGGCCAGAGGGGGTATTGGGTATTTTCCTTTCCTCATGTGGAAAGCTTGAACAAACTGGAGATGGGTATTAACCCTTTACCCAGGTTGGTGAAGATCTGCAGAAAAACCCAATAGGGTAGGCTCTGGTTAAATACTTCTCTTGAGGGCATATATTCTAAGAACAGAATGCTCTGGTGTATTTCTTTCCTTTCTATTTTTTTGAGGTGCAAAATAACAGAGTTTTATTAGAAAAGGAAAGGAAAGCAGGAGTGAAAACAGAGACTCCCCTGTGGGAGGGGCTGGAGGAAAGCAGCCCAAGCCCCAGAATGCTCTGGTGTATTTCATAATGGTTACTTTTCCTCTCCCCTGCTGATTACACAAGGGGATTTTTCTCTGCTCTTTACTGTAATAATGTGAACAAGCTCCCGGAGATAAAACTCACAAAAGTGTGGAAGTTCCATTATGACTTGGTCTCCGGCTTACCCACACTGAGCCTCCAGAAATACATTAATTGTAGTTCATGTTTTCCTTATATGCTGCTGGTTCCCCCAGAAGTTTCTGTTCATGGGCTTCTAATCTGATAAATTGTGATTCTCTATATCTCTATTGCTCTAATTTTCAGGATAGAGGTTTGCTTTGTCACCTCACTTCTCTAATGGATCTAAGTATAGTTGTTGATTTTTCACTTTGGTCAGCTTTTTGATCTTTGTTAGAATGGATCTCCTGATGTAAATTTTGGCACATTCAAAATTCTCAGAAAAGAAGTATCATTTCAGCCAGATGTTTTATCTGTATAGGTTTGCAAGGAACTCTCTTAGGATTCTTTTAATTTCCTCTACTTCTGGCACTCATTTCTAATATCTTTTATTTATCCTGATGGATGAAATTCCTTAGGTTATTTGTTTTATTTTTTAATGTATGTTACCCTGTTTTCTGAATGTGACTGACAGTTAAACTAATAGGATCAAACTTCTTCAGGGTTCATCTCACTAACATTCTTACAACTAGGACCAAACAGTGGAAACTTTAAGTCCTCATTGGGAGGAAGGATAATTACCTCATTGACTATTAGTAAGTGAAAATCACTTCAGGTGGAATATTCAAATGTTCTGATCAGCTATGGCTACTGAACAAGGTACAGCACAATATAAGGGCGGATTGAGGTAAGAATAGTATATGGACCAAAGTATAAGTTCTGTTTAGAGACTACTTATAAACCTGTATTAACTTTCTCAAATGCTAACTTGTGACAGTGTTTCTTCATTCTATTGAAAACTGTAGATTTTAGTACTGTCTTATCCTGATGTCTTCTTCCACCTGTCATATCCATCCACAGTTATTTATTTAGTCCTTATGAAATTAGTGCTGCATAACTGAGCTTGCTATAAAACCCAAACCAGGAAGACATTATCTGCCCACTAAGTTCTATTTTAAAATCATATATTGTATTTGCACACACATATAAACCAACACATTATACATATGTATGTGACATATATATATATATATATATGTACATTGTAAGCACAAAAGCTTACTGTTAAAAAAAATCTAAACTTTCAAACTCTAAAACTCTAATAGGCTTACCTCTGCTGACTCCACAGTAAAGGAGAATCTTTAGTAGAGTTTTTTCAGGCGAAATAGCTTCCTCTGTTCCTTCAATTCTGATGTTTTCCCTCTAACTCTGTTCTATTTCTGACAGGAGAAGGAGCAGGAAAGAGCATGGCTTGTCTATCAGTTTTATCTCAATCTCTTGTTAAAGACATTGGGGTTCTTAACAGAAGGAGATTCTGAGATAAAGTGGGTTAGGTTAGACCAGATTTTTCCTAGAGAGTACATGTTGTTGAGTAGCTTGATCTCAGTTAGAAAATCACATTGACATGTAAAGGATGGGATTTGAGGTTTCATCCATTATATGAAAAATCACTTTTAAATCTTTTTAATATACTGTCAAGAGGAAAACATGGGGAGAATTTTGTTGGACTCAGTTGTTCTTTTGTCAATGCAAGAACATTTTAAGTAAACATAATTGAGATTAGCACACACTCTTCTTTTCTTTCTCCTTTTATTGTTTTTACATTTACTCACATGTTTATACATTGTGCCACCTTCCCTCCCACCCCCTCAACCCCCCACTTCCAGGCAGATCCTGATCCACCCTCTTCTTCAATTTTGTTGAAGAGAAAACATAAGAGATAATAAGAAAAACATAGCATTTTTGCTAGTTTGGGATAAAGATAGCTATACAGAGAGATTCCTAGCATTGCTTCCATGCACTAGAGCATGCACTTTCTTTTCTGATGTGCATGTAGATGTGTGTATATATATATGTACATACTTGTATAATGCTTAATACTTTTCATAACACTTTGCCTCTACTTCCTCATTACTTCTGCAGAACAATCATTAAGTTGTTGTTAGGTGACTTTTCTGAATTTATGTAGCAAGTTAGTGGTAGAGGCAGTGGATAGAGACTAGATCTTGGGTATTCTGGTTTTTTTCCCTGTGTGGTAGAACTGTAGGCTGTCAAGTAATATATCCAATATTTCAGTTTTGCTCACTTAAGGCTTTGAGCCAGCTCCAGGATGGCAGTATTGATATTTTATGTCCTGACAGATAAAGAAAGCCAACGGGAAAAGGAGAAGCTGGAAGCAGAGCTGGCTACTGCCCGTTCTACCAATGAGGACCAAAGGAGACACATTGAAATCCGAGACCAGGCACTGAGTAATGCCCAGGCCAAGGTGGTGAAGCTGGAAGAAGAGGTATGGTTTTCTCAGATAGCATGTGAGCCTGTGGTTTGGAGAGCTGGGAAATCAAGGGTACTGGGCTTCCCATCTTGGTGAACTGGCAGCTTAGACAGTCTTTCAATAAGGAGGTGTCATCTTTTGCTTCTGGTAGCAGTGTGTTTGATGTGAGTGGACTTTGATTTCATTTTTCTTCCCTGCAAGTTCCTTTCTTTTACTCTAGAATAGGAAATCACCAGGGTCAAAGGGCAATTTCCATTTGCTCATTCATGTAATAAGGTAACTGCTTTCATACTCCCAACTTCTTACTAATATTTAACCCTGCCTTAAACCTGTGACAGATATCTATATATAGATGTCTGTAATCCTTGTCCTTTATGGGCTTAAAAGCTTTATTTTCCAAAAATTAGAAAATAATTTTGGATATCATGAAGCGCTCCAAGGGTCTTGAAATTAGCATGCTCTTTTTCTCCCCATGCTCAGTGGGAAGTCAGTTCCATTGACTTCCAATTTGCATTTTTATGGCCACACCTTTTGCTATTGGATTTGGCAGATTGGTTTAAGAATAGAAGTCTGGGACAAGATAAGACCCAGTTTACAGTTTATGTCATGTGAAAGTACTGGCCAAGATTGTTGCTGCAGCTTAAAGACTACTTTTTTACAATGTAGCTATGTGGTGGGGGATAATTCATCAGTTACTGTGTAAGGATTGTTGCCTTCTCTTGACAAATGCAAGGACCCCCAAACTATTAATCATATGATTAAACGTGTGTCTGACTAGTCTCCATGTAGATGTTACTCAATTCAACACTAAACTGTATTCAAGTGATCTACAGGGAACTTTGTTGCCGGACTTTTATTAGTTTATCTTGGATGTGTACAACTGACTCTTAGATGTTTCATACTTCTGGGAATGGGTAAACGCCAGCAAATGTTGATGCTAAAGTGTAACTTTGTTAGAAAAAAGTTTTTGTTAAAAAAAACTTACATCTCATTAAATTCTGTTTTAAAATTTGAATTGTTTTAAAGGAGATAATAGCCTCCATTATAACAAGTTGGAAGCCTTATAAACCTGAGACAGAGTAAAAGTGTCAGTGACCAAATAGTATTCTGGCTATTTTATGTGAGGTATCTTTCCTGCCTTCAGTAATTGCCTGCTTCCTGTTCCTACAGTAAGAATGGTTCTAGGTCCTGGAGGTCTCTTGACATAGATTTCCTCTGCTTTCCTTTGGTTATTGTAAAGTTTGTTGGAGTTGGGTTGTGGGTTCAGGGTTCATACTTTGCTAGCAAGTAATGCCATGTTATCTATGATATCCTTTACCCTGATTTATGTAAGTGTTAATTTAAGTTTGTATAAAATCAGGCTCATAATGTCTTACTTTATCATTTTGGGTCTCAGAAATAAACTGAGTTGCTTCATGGAGAATGAGGAAGCCTTGTATTTACCTGATGTCTGGGTCTAGAGAGCTTAGAATATCCTATAGCCTTTTGCTATACCTCATATATTCCCTTCCCTCATTTTTGCAAGAAGATTCCAGAGAACATTACAGCCAGTGTAAGATTGTGTTCTTTTAGAGACACGCAAACTAAGAGACCTGCTGAGAAGTAGTAACTGCTGGTGATCACATGGCAGGTCTTGGTATCTGTATCATGACTCTTCCTGAATCCAGATCACTTCTTGTATATAAAGGCTTGCAACATCACGTCTCAGAGAAAATAAAGTAGTTCTTATTTTTCACTGTGTTTTAGCAGCATATCAGAACTGGATTTGCTCCTGGGTGGTATTTATCCTGTCTCCCCTATACTATGAAAAGGAAAACTTTCCCTTCTCTCATCTTTAAACATAGGACTTAATAAGTAAAACTTTGCTTTTCTGCTATGACTCAATCCCTCTTAGGACTTGGTCATTTGGGGGTAAAAAAAATCTCTAAATATGGAATGTTAGGTATTGATAACTCTGGAACAGATCTGGTAAGGGTTTTACACAAAAATCAGTGAACATTTCTAAACCAAAAAGAGTATATTCATTTTTAAAATAAAATTTGTATTTACTTAGAAGCATTCAGAATATCAACAAAACAGCTACAACATTTTTTTTTTTTGTGATTACAGAGTGGTATTCAGTTCCAAGAAGAGTATATTCATAAGTAGACAAGCTGTCCCTCTGTCTGGTGTTGATGGCTCAAGGGAGGCAATGTTTGAAGGCAGACGGATATACTGGATGATCTTCCTATGCCACGTGAAAAACATAATTTAGTTATGGCTCAGAAATGACATTATGAAATTTTCTTTTACCTCAGGTCTTCAAAGTTCTGGGGAAAATCAGCCTAGTCTACTTAATAATAATTAGTAGTAATAATTAGGAGAACTTTCTCAAAATAAGTTTTTTGTATGAGGCATGTTTTCTTTAAGTTCAGGGTCACTCAGGTAACTAGTTTTCATTGTCTAGGAAAGATATATAACTTCTTTAATGGTCCAAGGGCTCTTGCATTCATTTATGTCTTCCTTTCTAGAAAGACTTTTTTGAGACGCATTCCCTGCAATTCATTCCATCTTTCTAATCCCATTGAGACTCTGACCTGAGGTTTTCTACAATCCCTGTGCTCTGAACTCTACACAGATATGTTACCCCAGGTGCACAGAAAACTTTTCTCTTGAAATCACAGCTTCCATCCTGTTCCAAGTTCAGTGCAGATACTTTCAAGGACTCTGCTTCGCTGATGTTCAGGGAGATATCTTGCTGGGGAGAGGGGATGGATGGAACATTTTCTTCATGAAACACTATAATCCAAATCTTGACACCAGTCTACAGCCTGTGTGGCAGGCAGCCAGACGAGGTAATGGTGCCTTTCTGTCTTCTTGCCCTTATCTTGCGGGACACGTAGGTCCTATTGAAGTGGAGGCTCATTAAACTCCAAGTCAAAAGAGTTCTGTGTCCTACAGCAGCCATGGTATTTTTTCATTCAGTGAGAGCCTCCCCACCCCCTACCAATTTAACCTCACTGGAGAGTTGTGAGTGATGCCTGGCATATCCTCTCACAAGGCTGAAGGCAGCCCAGGCTTCTGGCTGGCTGCAGTCTTATGAGAATCCAGAGTTGAAGCCATCACTTGGGTAATTGTTTCAGAGATGCTGGGAAAATGGCCCTGGCAAGATCAAAGAGGGAAGATGCTGCGGGTGGGCTGCTTAGTGAGCAGAGTGCACAAGAAGCAATAGAGCAGAATGTGGGAGGGCTGGCAGAAAAAGCTAGTGAGCCTTGTTCTTTGGTTTTAGGCTAGACTGAACCTTACAGAGATTCAGGAAGAAGGGGCCCAATGTTAAACTTTACTGAACTGCAGTAGCTGGTAGTGATTTACACATTGCATTGATAGCTCTTATTGGAATATCCAGTGCATTTTCCAAAGCCCTGTTGCCACTCCACCCAATTCTCCAAAACTGACTATCTTGTTTTACTCCATTTCCACAATTCTTAAAGGGCTGATATTTTTTCATCTTTCTGAATCCCTTGATACTTATTTGGCCTTTTCTATTTTTTTCTTTTTTGAGGCTTTAAAGATGCATAATTTTCTGCTACCACACCTATTCACCAAGTATCAGAACCAGTCCCCTTCTTTTCAGCATTAAAGGAATATGTCTTAGGTACAAACATTTGTGTGTCCAATACTCATAAATAATTTTAAAGCAGCAATAGGACTTTGTTGGTGGACATAAAATTTATACAGTGGTTATTATGATGGAGTGTAGTTTTGGATGGAAGTCTGAGGATATGAATCGGGTGCTTTAAAGGGTTGATAGGATTCAGATATAGTATGTATCTACCCAGGCATCTTCCTGGGTATTCTGCTGATGAATTGTTGATATATTTAGAGGGCATTTCATCAAAGGATGATGTTTCTCATATCTATGGCAGTGTATTTTCTTTGTAGTAAGTGTAGCTTCATCAAATGTGTTTAAAAGAGAAAGACATTATGTCCCCACACCAAATAGAGATAGAGTGTCCTCTCTGAGCTCAATTCTCTCAGTCTTTTCTATGATTTCTGTCTTGTTAAATTCCCAGATTGGAAGCCTTATGGATTTCTCTTTAGTTGTCTCTATATCATGAGCCCCATTCTTGAGGTAGGAAGTTTTTAAAGGTTGTTTTTTACTCTTCAGTTCTTTTAATATCCACCACTGCACCACAGCCTCTTGGCAATGGACAGAGGCAGCTTGCTAATACCAGGGTAGTGTTACAAAATTGCTTCAGTGTGAACTCTTACTTAGAGCCAGGGGCTCCTGGATAAGACTAAATCAGATCAAACTAAAATCGCTAAATTTCATGGAGCAGTACATAATTAGTTGTATGATAGAGAGGAGGAAAGAAAGTTATGAAAAAAAATTTTTTTTCTGTACTGTGGTTTGAAGGGCCTACACCTTGAGCCACTCCACCAATCATTTTTTATGATGGGTTTTTTCCAAGATAGGGTCTCTCAAACCTTTTGCCAGGGTTGGCTTCAAATTGTGGTTCTCCTGATCTCTCCTTCCTGAGTAGCTAGGATTACAGGCATGAGCCACTGGCACCCTGCTACTTGTAAAATTTATGAAATAGTGTTTATAGTTGTGAACAATAGGAAGGAAGAGGCAAATCAGACATAAGGAAGGCACTGGACATGGTTGTGTATTATTATCCTCAATGTCCTTGAGCAGATGGAGTGTTTGTATATGTTGGTGTTCATCGAGCCTGTATCAAAAGTTTGCCCCCTCTACCTACCCATCTGTAACTTTTAACCTTCAAAATATGTACAAATATATTATTATATTCCCTAGGAACCTGGCAAGAATTACCATCTTTTTACAGATTAGGAAATTAAAGTGCAGACATGAGGCAGTACAGTTAGTGATAAATCTAGGAGAAAACTGAAAGTATCTAACCATGTTCTTTGTCCACCAGTGAATAAATGGGAAAGTTAATGATTAATTCACTTCCTTGCAAATGACTAAGACAAGAGGTTAGCTTGAGGAGCCCTAGAAGTAACTTTTGCAT